CTCTGGGGAACACAGCTCAACCATGAATAACTTGCAGAGTGTTACAATTTATGGATTTGATAGCTATACTGGTATAGTTAAAGGAAGCTATTAGCAATTGGGATTAACCAACCCCTATGGTACACAAAATCGAATTCCCACTCTCATATGCACCAAGCAGGAATGTTTACTTACATTATTTACTACCTCAGTGTTGAGTAATTATGACTATCATGAAAACAGTAAATCTTAAATTTAATTATTGCTGCATGGAAGGAAATGGTCTGATAAGCAGGCTCATTTGGGAGAAGTCGTTAGCATTTATATAGCGGTGTGTGTGTCCACATGTGCATGTGTGCATGTGTTGGGTTTTTGGTTTTTTTTCACCTGTATGCCTGGGTAGCCAGGTTGTCCAGGAAACCCAGCAAATCCTATTTCCCCCTGGAAAGGACCACAGAAATATCATTTGAGTAATCTGTTAAGATATATAATTAATTGAACAAAACCCTGTAAGGCAATCATATAATACTGGCATCTTATAATAGCATCCACACTTTGTTTCAGAAAATGGATTTGTACCAGAGATGGTATGTTTTACAGATTCTCTTCGGGTAAAAAAACAAACCCAAAAAACAACCAACACCCTCTTCCCCTCCCTGCAAAATACCAAAAAACCCAAAAAAACCAACCAAAAAACAACCAACAAAACCCCACAACATGTATTGGTTATTTAGACAACGGTCAGTGGATTCAATGTAGCTGGGGCACAGAACTAGCTGGAATACATACCAGCAGATTCTTATAGACTGCTTAATACAGCTGAAATAGTTTTGCTATCTGCTGAACGACCCTCTTACACTATTATTGCATGAAAAGCAGCTGCACATCAGCTCCTCTCCTTTTACAATCTACTAATATGCTCATCCACCGAGTATTCAAGCTAAGTAGACAGTTGTTAAAAAAAGAAGAAAAAAAAACCCAAACAAAACCAAAGTAAAAATAATTTTGCAGATAAAAGTCACCTGGAACACAAGTCTAGATGCAAATATCTGTACATTAATTTGATTTATGAATAGCACGATCACTACCTTAACTAGATTTGAAAAGGAGCTGAGGAGAGGAGCTAGGAAAAAGGGCAAGATGAAGATCTATGTACCTACACATGTTTTTCTTTATTCCAGTAAGATGTTTTAAGCTGCTAACTTAAAATTTAGCAGACTTAATAGCAAACCTGGAATTTTTTGAGTCATAAAAATAAAAACATGCATATAACACAAAATTACACAATGTCACCATGGCAAACAAAGTTAACATGCTGCATATTATATCATGCTGTATGCATGTCCCAATGGCTTTTCCTCCTGCTTCCAACTTCAGATCCCATTAGCCAATTTCAGCCAAATTTCAGAGAGTAGCAGTAATTCAAAGACAAAGACTTCATACAAATTCAGTGATCATAGGTAGCAGGAGAGAAAGGAAGGAATGCAGTGTGAGCTGTCAGGTATGCAGAAATTCCAAATCTGCACAAATCTACAAAAAACCCAAATCTCACTGATCCTACTGCTTAGGGAGATGCTTATACTTCATGGCCTCTTACCTTCATTCCAGGAAAACCTGCAGGTCCATAAGAACCAGGATCACCCTGATAAAAGCAAGCAGAAAGCAAGCTAAAACAGTAAAAGCTTATTCAGAATTACATCTATTCAGAATTGCTGAGCAGTCAGTGTTCCTTAGAAAATCATTACTTAGGATATTTTTCCAAAAATTTTGCCAAGTTTTTTGCAAATACTTTATATGAGAGGTGAGTACGAATTTGAACTATAGACCAAAATAAAACAGACAGGTCTTCACCTAATTTGTTATCATATTGCACCCATTGCAGTACTGGACATGTTGTTCCATATGAGCAGTGTTATACAAATCAAGCACAAGCTGCTATAAAAAACTGACATCAACACTCATGGAATACATAAAATTACTGTGTTAGTACAATAAGCAGAGAAGCTTAGTGCAGTTCTAAATATTTAGAGGATAACCTCAGTGATTTACTTTCTTTCCAAGAACAGAAAGTCTGTATGACCTTATGTTTAAGTATGGGACAGGGTGAGTCCCAGGGCAAGACTCCTAAATATTCTATAAAGAAAGTATGACAAATTAGTTTACAAGGTACTTAAAATCTTTCTTAGAAATGTAAACTTAAATTTCCAAATATATTATGAACCTAATTATAGTGAATTTTTGAAGTAATTTATTCCACAACTTCCTTACCCGCAATCCAGGGAATCCAGGAATGCCTTTTTCACCCTTTTCTCCTCTCCCAAGTATACCCTGAAGCATTCAAAATACTTTTTCAATAAGATGTTTGGTGAAGTTTGCAGAAATTTTAGTCTTTGTGTATGCTAAATCATATATGTACTAGGTTAATGGATCTTGTTGCACTTGCTGGCACAGTCACTGGGTCTTACTTCATAAAGCACCTCTATCAGGCCTATGTAGCAAAGCTCTGGGCATCTTTTGGGATGCAGCAATTTCTAAGCTCCTGCTTATAACTAAAAAGTATGCTATTATCTGCATGGACAGCTAGCAATGGACCATGCGTATAAGGTCCATCTTTTTCAAAGTAAATCTGATATAAAAAGATTGGTTTTGTCTGTTTTTCCAGTGCTAAGTAGCAGTGGTCGTTTTACGATGGAAGATAAATTTCTGAAAATGTTCTAGACTTAGAGCTCAGAATGTGACGTTCAGGCTTCCAATTTCTTCTGCCTACAAAGCTAAATATTTTTTTAACATAAATTAGATTAATTCTTTAGTCACAAATTATCTTCTGTTTTTCTGAGACCTGGTAGTTTTATGCCTGTGCACTTCCATAATCTGAAGTGAAAGTCCTTCCCTAACATACTTAGGGAAACATACATCATGCTCCATTAAGAACACACAGATCTTCTCTATTTTTCCTGACAAAAAACAATCTGCACTTCTATCTTCTTCACAGTCCCAGTCTGTTGTGTCTCAACAGCCCAACTGGAAACACCACTGACCTTTTGCTACCAGGCAACATTCAGTAGGTACCTTTAAAACAGACTCAAAGGTTCTTGAAAGGGTTTTGAAATTTTTTTGCTTTCACACTGATTTAGGTGGTGATTAAATTTCACAGTGCAAATGCTGTTATTTCTTCTATCACCTTGAGCTTTAAAAGGACTTTGCCAGCATCATGAGAAAAATAAAAAAAATCACATTACTTACCTTTGGTCCACGTGGTCCTCTGTGTCCTGTTACCCCAGGTAGTCCTTTTTGGCCCTATGTATACAAGGAAAGTTTTTGTGTATATTAATTTGCAGGACATTCCTATGTGCTGTCTAACTTTTTTTAAGTCCTATTCTGAATTATAAATGTTAAAAAAGTATTTTCTTAAGCACCGGGCATCTTCCTCTAGGTGTACTAGACATAAGAACATAAAGAGTAATTATGTACTGATCTTCATTTCTGTTAACTCTGTCAAACCAGAATAATTGCGGAGAGAGATAGATGTATCTTTTCATTTGGAAGGACCTTTGGGGGGGCTTTACTCCTGCAAGCATATATGACAGTAGTTCTGTTTTGTTTGCTGCTCTATTTAGTGTGATGCAGGTATTCACATTCATAAAACTACATTTTTGTGCACTGCCCGAATCTGAATGGGATACATAGGTGGCTACATAGTCATGATCACGTCATGTGTTGCACAGCAGCATATATCACACTTGGCAGTAATATGAAGAGTTTACATAAATTCTTTTGGTCCTTTTCCTCTTCCTCATACACCTGTACATAGCAATAATTTGCATAATCTAAGCCTAAAATCCAGTATCTTAAATTTTTCAGTTCCCTGAGTTGAAGCTGTAGGGGCTGGAAATGCCAAATTCACCTTAAAATTTGTGTATTCGAGCAAGTCAGATTTGAGGACAAAGAGACTTCAATATAGGGCTCCATAATGCAGTTTTTGTAACTCTTCTTCTTTTTAAGGGAACATTATAATGTTTTAAGGTACACAGTTGTGGCTACCGTAGGAGTGATATTGAAGTATTACAGTAAATAACAGAAACATGCATTAGACAAAAAAATCACAATTAATTTTCATATTAAGAAAGCAGCCTAGAAGAGTTAGAGTTGATAGTTCAAAACATTACAGTGGAGAAATCTCAAAGAGAATAATTGCCAAAGAACTGCAAAATATGTGTTAGCGAAGGGCCACAGAAGAGATTCAATAGTAGAGTAACTAACTTTACCTGAGATGCCTGAAATATGATTTGCTATTGACAAAAAGTGAAGGAAACCAATGCAAGGGCAGTAGCTCCTTTCTGCATCAAGACAGTCTTTCCTCAAGGACATGAGCTAAAGTACACATGGGCTCTCCTTCCTGAAAGCCTGTAGGAAGGGTGCTGAACAACAGGACTGATTTCTGCTGAAGCTGATGGCTTCTTACAGAAAGATTTGTATTATACAGTCCTTGCAAAAATGACATCACAGTATTGTACTTGCCAAGTTGAGCACAGTTAAATATGAAGACAACACCTTTTCTCCTTTGAAGAGCTGAGTTCCAGGAGGTCCAACTAACAGTGGTGACCCAGGTGGCCCAGGAAGTCCGATGTCACCCTGTGGAAGTCAAAGGAACAGCAGAGAGACATTTTGTTCCATATGTTTCAGTGAGACTCAGCATGTCTTCCTAATGTACTACAGTATTACACATGTCTGTACTTATTGAACAAGTTCTTGTACTAATAATTGTAGATAAAAGGTTTGTATTGCCATTTGTAAGGCTTTTTACTGTCTTCCCAGATGAGCAAGTCTGGCAATCCTAATCCCCTCCTATTCTCTTCAACTATTAAAAATAACATTATGGCTAAAGAGATACATAAATTAGATTAATTCTTTAGTCGCAAAAATAAGAACTCTGTACTTATGGCCTGAATCTGCTGTGGAGATAGTTACAGGATTGGCAAATCTCTTGTGTCCACACAGTCTTCATGTTCCCACCTGAAGCCATTCAGCACAAGGCTTTGTGAATGCAAAGATGAAATTATTGATTTGCTATGGGAAGTTGTGCATGTTAGAAACTTGCATAAATTCCAAGTTGTCACTGGACAAATTCATAGAAGAAAAATCAAATATTCCTCATTAGTTCTGTAAGTCCTGAGTACGCTAATAGGCGGAAATTGGGAGAGGAACTATTACTGTGTGCATTACTATGTGCTTCTCTTTTTCTTAACCCTTTCCTTAGCATCTGGTGCTGGACATAGCAAGAGATGAGATTCAGTGACTGGTCTGGTACAGCCACTGTTACTGGAGGGTACTGTTGTGTTCTGATTATTTAGGCAGTGTCTGTACAGAAGGTAATTGCTATATAAATGCTAACTAACATATTGATTGTTGCTTTTCAAAACCTCCAAGAAGACCCTTGATTGATGCAGCTCACTGAAGGAACCACTTCTGCATGGAATTAATTGATCCAATAACTTACTTTACTTCTCCTTCCATCCTAACATGATTAGTGGGAGCACACCGCTGCACATGAATCGGTTCCAGGAAACCCAGCAAGGCTCTATTATACTTCTAATTCTACAGCAATAATACATTTAATAATATTTGTTTTCTTACCGGCTCCCCCTTTTGTCCGTCCACTCCAATACCAGGATTTCCCTAATTGACAGAAAAAGTACACAGGTTGAAGATAACCAGAAAATGCTGATATTAGAATTTAATCAAATAACTCATTTGAAAAACTTAGTAACAAACAACCATAAGAGACATTTCGAATATTTGTATAAATTAATCTATTATTTTAATAACAACGTCAGGAAAATCATGGCCTACCTGTTCACCTGGCAAACCAGGGTAACCCGGAATACCCTTTAAAAGAGAATGAAAACAAACAAGTTAGTATGTCTGATTTAGACATCTTTGTCTGAAAATCACATACTCTTGCCAGCAGCACCTAGAGGCAGAATTTCCTCTTGGGATGAGGAAATCGCAATTTACTTCACCTGCTCACTGCTTTCAGCAGGGTTGAACTCTGGCTTCCCACTTTTCACTTCCTGACTCCCACAAGGTGCCCTTGGGGAAAGCGAATAAGGAGAAAGCAGTAGCAGCATTCCTCCATGACCACAGACTGCCAGATGAAATGTGTCCACCCAGGCATGGGAAGGAAAAATATATGCTCCAATTCCTGAACTTCCAAACTCATAAGGTAAGACAAAAATCTATTTTTTTATCATCTGCCTCAGAAATTATTTCTAGGCTTTGATTCACATTAAGGCAAGTTCTAGAATTGGTAATCAGAATTTCTGCATGTCCTAAAAATGCAAGGCTATATAACTGTGGTGATCTTACAGGCAAGCCTAGTTGGCCTGGGTATCCAGACGGGCCCGGTGTACCTCTCGACCCTATAGGTCCCTGCAAAAGATGGCAAAAAGTCTGTTTGTGAAAATACCAAGAGCTTACCCTTTTCTCCACAAAAGTAGTCCCTCCAAAATGTCTGTGTCACCTAGACTCAGTCTACTAGTCATTGCATTCCACCCACGGTCTGAAGCTTATACCATGTCTGTCACTGTCTTCTTATACCTCACTGTCACTAGAGCTCAGCACCAGTTTCTGGATTGTACTGTACAGATGATACTGGACAATGCACAGTTATATGTTATCAATTGATTGAAAGAATACTTTTAGAGTAACTGTGCTACAGTATGGGGACTCGATACAGTTCATTAGTGAATAATTTTTTAGAGAGCATAAGAAGAGGAACCCAAAGTCATTAAGAGTGTTAGCCAGCAACAAAATTAAACTCTCTATTCTTACATGTTTTTATGGCCAAAATATGGTAGTGTATGCTACATGTTCTTGGGTGATCCTCCAGATACTGTTGAAGAAGGTGTCACCTATCTACACATTCTGAATGTAATGGAGAAAAGATTTTGCAAACTGTGAGCACCAGAGCAACAACTGCTCGATGCAGATGGTTGTTGTCTGTTTCTGCTGCTTAAGCCAGTGTGAACTGGTCATGGGGGCAGACTATAGGGACTCCATGTTTGTTAGACTTTATTCAGGAATTTTGCTATATAAGGCAGGCAGGGAGAAGCCCCAATATCTTGTTATTGTACTAAGAAGGAAAATTTTAAAGATCTTTAATACAAGAAGCATTATAGAACCCACTGACTGTACTTACGGGCGTGCCAGGGGGTCCAGGATCACCTCTATCTCCCTGTAACAGCAATCATTTTGCAAATTAATCGTTACAAGCTTTTTGTGGGTATTTTCTAACTTTTGATAGCTATTAAGGTAACAAGCTATCTGTTCCAGTTGTACATTTGCTTTTAATCTTTCTTTTTTGCACAAAGCTTTATTAAAGCATGAGGAGTAATGGAAAAATTACATTTGCCGCGAAAGCTTTCCTACAAGATATGATTTTTTTCACAATCATATACTTACTGGAGGTCCTTTTCCAAAATGTGAAATATACACTGAATTTCCTTTTTCTCCTTTTTGCCCTGGATTTCCCTTTAAAGAAAAAAAGTCTTTTAAAACATGATCCACACTTACTGATATGCTACATTTCTATGGAGACTGAACGATAATTTCTCAAGTTATGTTTTCTGGTGTCCCTACATCACTAGGTAATCCACTAGTCATGCATGACCATTTTGAAGTTCTTTTACCTCACAAGACCCTTAAAGTAAAACTGCCTTCTTTACAGCTGACCAAAACAGCTTCTCACAGCTTCTGGACTCCTGCTCTGTTAGATTAGCTCTTAGGTACTTCAATAATCTACCATCTTCACAAATCTTGCTTTTAGTATCAAGTATATAGAATTATAGAATGGTTTGGGTTGGAAAGGACCTTAAGTCAGCTAGTTCCATGATGGCTGCCATGGACCGGGACATCTCGCATTAGACCATGTCACCCAAGGCTCTGTCCAGCCTGGCCTTGGACACTGCCAGGGATGGAGCATTTACAGCTTCTTTGGGCAACCAGTTCCAGTGCCTCACCACCCTCACAATAAAGGACTTCTTCCTTACACAGTAAAGAACTTCTTCATTATATCTAACCTGAACTTCCCTAAGTTTAAATCCATTACTCCTTGTCCTATCGCTAGACTGCCTGATGAAGTGTCCTTCTCCAGCATCCTAATATGCCTACCTTTTCTTTCAGTAAGTATTTTAAGTATTAACACTCTGCTCTACCTTCTCCAAAAGATCATGCTGTGATTTAGAAGAATCTAGTGTGATTCTACATATAGTTAAAAAGATGAATACATGGACTGCCGATGAAAGTATGGACTGTGTTACATGCATAATCTTCAACATTTCCACCTATTAGGAACTATGTTTCACAGTCTATTAAACAGATAAAAATCTGATGCCTAAAGGCCCTGTTTATTTAAAAACTACGTTCCCATGGTGCTTGCTATGGAATCCTTTATAAAACTTCGCTAACCTTCACAACCTCAATCTGACTTAGCAGAATGATTGCTTTTGCAGTATTCAACTGTAATGCTCAAATGACTGTTGAGAGCATGATATATGTACATACCTGAGGAACAGATATATTAAGATATTACTTCTGAAGTTTTCTCATTTGAAATCCAATGTATGGGATATAATTTACCTAAGGTAACCACTTAACTATTTCAATAATTATTATTTATTTATTAATTTTAATAAAACGGAATACTATTTTTCATAGAATTTAATCACTTTAAAAGTGTGCTAGTTTCCTGATACTGGCTGCTCAAATCCTGAAGTCAGAATGGAACAGAAAAGGTACTTATCCCTGGAATGACTCAATAAAAAGAAAAGTTACAGCTGTCTGCAGCTGGATATAACTACAGTAGACTAATGCAGATAACAGGTCAAACAACAACTGCTAGGGAACAAATTAAACACACCAAAAGTTGTATTTGGTTATTCTACATGTGACCTGTTGTGTAATAAAACATCTTTATTAGATTCAGTTTACCTTCTACATGACTTAGGTGAGTGCTTACAAATAAAACTATTTCCTTTTCCAATTTATTGGTGAGATAAATGTGCAGACTCTACAAGTGAAGCTGCAGAATATGTAGTGTTAAAAAGAATTATACAGGACAACATTATAAATAACATAAAAATGTTAGCTGTAATATATAGTAAAGTTGGTACTTGGTGCAACAAATTGATTTAAAACAGGCAATCTGCATAGAGTGGTTGGAATAGCATTCTCATACACAAACAAATATGCTTACTATGTCTGTGTTTTTCTGGGTAGCTAAATTAATTTGCACTGGAATTTTAGTCTGCATATCCAAGGCTACATGCCTATTGTGTCTCCCATTTTTTGTAGGCTGCAAATACTTTTCTAGGCCTGCCAGAAAGCATGCTCCTGGAGTTAAGAGGATTTATGCTATAATTTGTCCCACATCTTATTTTTCTTTTATGTCATTTGGCATTATAAAAAGGAAAACTCTTATTTTGAAAGCCATAATAAGTAAGAAAATACAGGTAAAATTACAGTTTGAACAGAAGTAATTTTTCTGTTTGGAGGGTTAATGGGTTACTTTCAGAGGTGCAACAAATAAGAGTTTCAGGGTATTTTATCAGGTTGTGTATTTCATGCATTATTTTTTTCTATTTGCTACATTTTTTATGACATCTTTTCACTTTGGCACCCAGTGCACATTTTTTGATTCCCTATGGCTGAAGCAGCATCTTATTTGGCTTCGACTAAACACTTTTGATTTTTCATGCAAAATGCAGTTGTTTTTACTGTTTCACTTAGAAAATTTCAGAGAAGCTCTTAGACCAACTAATGAGCTCTTAATCACTCAGAACTAGAACTTGTTTTCACAAGAAGTCAAAGACCAGGGACTAGGTCTGTTCAGCAAAATTTCTTTGGAGCTACAGTGATTTATATCCTGTACTGACATTAATCAGTGGTTTATCTTCATTAGAAGAGCACTGCCAACACACTACTTAAACAATTTTAAAATGCTTTCCATTTTAACAGCAAAAGTAAATAATATTAAAGTGCTAATTTTAAACGTTTTAACTGAAATGACCTTTATGTATACAGATAAAGACCCAGGCAAGATTAAGTGTGCACAGAGCAGTCATGAATAGGTATGTATACAAAATAGCACATGAAACTGTAAAAGCATGATTTGGGAAGAGATCTACTAATACACTTGTGTGATCAACCACCAAAAATCTTAGAGTGTTACAGTTTTTTGAAGCTTTCACTCATTGCTAATTCATCTCAGGTATGTCCTTACAATTAAGGCTTTTGAGAAATTTCAAGTATTGATAAATGATGTAATGATTTCAAGCTACTCCTCAGTTGTACTTCCATGAAATGGTATTAGATTTGGTGTGACTACGTACTGGGGAAACAAAGCAGAATTTAACCCTCAAAGTAGACATATATACTTCAAGGATATAGGAACTTATTTCACATTCAATCTTAATCTGTTATGGCATCGAGTGTTCTTCACTCTCATTAACCTTAGTAAAAATGCTTGGAAATACATTGTGCAGTGTAAAGCTAGTGCCATAGTCTTAAACTTCTTTCATTTTAAGAACTATTAGTTTGGAGATGAAATGTACATGTTCAGTATTCAAAGACAGAAGGAATGCCCTTCACTTACATAAGGACCATGTGGTCCAATATAACCATTTTCGCCTGGAAATCCTGGATCTCCTCTTGAGCCATTGCAGCCATCTAAACCAGGCTTGCCCCTGGGTCCTCCACTTCCTGGTAATCCCTGAAAGATAGTTTAATATTTTTTAGAGTTACACTGTGATACATAGGGAATTTCTTTTAAATTAACAGAACAGTTCAGAAACAAATATTTTAGATCTGAAACAGAGAACATGTCATAGTGATCCCAGCTTTATACTCTTTGGATTAGAAATGCTTTCTATTGTGATCAATGGAAATATTTTTTTTCCTGTCTAACAAATGATATGATATATATTTTTATTTGATGCATAGCAAATATAACAGGGACAGCAGTGGTTAAGAGGGCCAGACAGAGCTCTCACTTGAGTCAAAAAGTAATGTGCTATCTTCTCAGGGAAAGCAGACACTAGCTCTCTAACTAAAATCCTTCTTGTGGTTGCAAAGAGAAGCTGAAGACATACAAAAAGTCATTTTAAACAGCTCATATTTTTTAGTTGACAGGATAAAACAAGGTAAAACAGGACACAGCTTGACTCAAGCACACAGTAATTGCAGAGATTATGACTATACATTCAAGAATTAAGGAAGTGATTTTCTAATCTAGCAAGAATTAACCATTGTCTAGGTAGGGGTTGGTTCTAGTGCAAATCAGACACTAGGCAGTAGAAACACTGAGATTTCCCATGGAAGGATCTTTCCATTGGAGGTAAAATATTTTTCACAGAATTAAACATTTCTGTAAGGAATAAATAGTAATTTTAACCCCAAATAGGGTTCTTTTTGTTTGGATGGTTTTGTTTTGGTTTTTTTTTTTTTTGTTTGATTTTGGTTGTTTGGTTGTTTTTCTGGGGAGATGTCTGAAAAATAGTAAGAAAGTATTCTGGCTAGTTGCCTGAAATGTTTTTGTCAGTTTTACCTTCTTTCTACCTTTAAGGTCCTTCATCCCAATTTGTGGATACTGTTTTTTTAATTAACACTTTTCATAAAAAGAATATACATTTCTTGGGAGTGCTCCTTTTTTGTGCTAAATTTTGGCTTGTGACCATTTTACAGACATTCTGGCGGCAGACCCATTGCCAAGTGTGGACAGCTGACAAGCAGCTGCTGAGACACCCACTCAGTTTTTGGTTCTGTTTTTTCACTTTGAAAATTCAACATTTTAACAGTGATCCACATGAAACTAATGATAGCTTAGGAATTCAGTTCTAATAAACAGTATTTTCAAAAATACTGTAGCTAAGAGATAATATTTTTCTTTTATTATACCCATTTCCTCACTGAAGAAGACATTCAGAAACATATATAATCACATGCTTATAAAGATATGTTTAGGACCCACTTTCCTTCCTCAGTGCCTATTCAGGAAAAAATACTGGACTCAGTTTTTGTTTTTTTTTTCAATGCAGAAAGACTACAAGCAAAAATCAGAATATTTGAACAGAAAACAGTACATCATTTGAGATACTTTCAGAGATATTAAGAATGCAGTTAAGCAGACTACAGCCTGCTATAAAGCCTGGGAAAATTGTTTTTAATCCTAGCACTGCCCCACTCTGCACACACTTGGGCTAGTCTCTATCTGCACTGCCCTGTTCCTGCATGAGTATTATGTACTTACCTCATTGCTATTTTGTGGAGTTTGTTATCAGTAGTAGCCAGTTGGAATTAACCTGGCTATTTTACATTTTACATGTAATTCTGTAGGTGACACTATATTGATAGGTATAAAGCCAAACATTTTGAGTGTATTATTCTGTTAGAGGGCTTGCTATGACCTTATAAAAATTCTAATTTTTATAAAACAATATTCATTCAATACGTACAGGAATGCCATCTAAACCAGGAAATCCTGGGACTCCAGTTGGGCCCTAAAAACAGATGACATGAAAAAACAAAGGTGCTGAAGTCATTAACTCTTAAAAAGAATGAAAAATGAGAATATGTGATACTAGATAGCAAAACCCAAGAAACAGTCTGGTTTGAAATATGAATCAAAAGTGGTAATTGTCAGTAACAAATATCTGAAAAAAGTTTTATGGGCATATAGGAGACTAGTGGCAATAGCTACCCATGTAACAGATGGTACCGTGCAGGACAAATGTCGATCTCGTACTCATTCATTCTCCAAAGATTATAAAATGACAGAGAAGCGGAAGTAGTCTTTAACTTATAAAGTAATTCTTTATGTAATTTCAAAACCCTATTCCTGCTCTGATAATATCAGAGCACAATTTACAGTACTCAGATTTCAGGTGTGCTAGATACACTCACTAGTGATTTCAGTCATCCACTGAGATTAGTGAAATTAAAACATTAAAAATAATACAAAGTACCAAGAGCCAAGGACAGGGACTGTACAGCTATGAAAGATATGGACCTGAACTGCAGTTTATACTCCCTAAGTGGTAATAAAATTCTGTTTAGTATACAGCACATTTAAAAGCATCATACTTCTCCCTCCAGCTCCACATTCCTCCCACAGCCCTCTTGGATGCTAAGGAGGATGACATGACATATAACAATAAAGAGACTGTGTCTGTTTCATTTTATTTTTGTCTTCTAACAATTCTAACTGAAATCAATGGCAAAAATCCCCAGAAACAATTTTTCAAGTTTTTTAAATTAATTTAATTTTGTAAATTAATTTCCGTGAGAGTTTTGTTGAGCAAGAGTATGGTTTGGTAAATGCTTTTTGATCATTCAGGTTCTATTTCACTTGCCAATATTTAACATTACATACTGTATACACCTAAAAGAGCTGTCTATGGTGTTTCCTACCTTATCACCTCTTTCTCCAGATGGCCCAGGTTGCCCAGTCTCACCTCTCTGTCCTTTTTCCCCTGGCAGACCAGCTGGTCCTGTAGATCCCAAGGACCCAATCGGACCTTGAGCTCCCAGCTCACCAGGTTGACCCTGAAAAGAGTCAAAAGTGAATGACTACTGCTGTAAACATTGCAGCAGGCAGCATTTCGGGGATGACTGTATGGATAAAACAAGGCTTATAATGTACATGATTCAAAACAGCTTGGTTGTATAGTCTGCAGATCTGTTCCCTTCATTAGATGCTCTAGGAACACCACCTTCAAACTTAACAACTTCCTCCAGGTGATAATTTCATCTTCAGCAGGTCTCCAGCACCACCTATCTGAGATGCCTGGGTTAAACTGCAAGTCTTCCTGGCTCTATCAACGTAAGTATCCCTTCTGCAAGCATAAGATTCCACTGAACATCCTATATTTGCCACCAGAGAAGTGATGGCTCATTTTAGACAAAGGGAGTTTGTACAAAATTAGAACAAATTGAGAGAGTTCCCTCTTAAGTCATACTATATGCTAATTATCTTGGGGTTTTAGCTTACTTATCTTCCATCATTGCTCTCAGATCTGAATGCCTCACTTAGAAGTTGTGAAATTTCCTGCACAAAAAAAAATAATAGCTATTAACCAACATATTTACAGAAAGTATTAATTCTAATAGAATTATTTGAGAGGATGCAGAATGTAATTTATCTATAAATAACTCTAAATTGTGTAGCTGTACCTACAGTACCCTATTGACCATCCCCATGGATTTCTATGCACTCTTCCAAGATTTTTCAGACTATAGCATTGCTTTGGAGTTGTTTTGAATTTGTTGCAGCTTTTGTTCTGTGCTGGTAAACAGTTATTAAATCATAAATTCAAAGTGCTGAATAAAACAAGTTTTCTAAACAGACTTCACATGTAAGCTGTCTGCATTTTCACCCTACAAAAATCTATGTATTTACAAGTCTTTGTTTCTCTTACTCATCTTTTTTATTTTGTGCCATTATCTCTGTTTAGCTACAGCTTCTTTTATTTACCAGCTCTAGAGTGTTTTGCTTTCTTTTCAGAATTCATCAATCAATTATACTATGGTATTAAGAAAGAGAGCGAGATGGAGCCCCATGCAGTCCCGAGAAACGCACATGGCTCTAAGACCACTTGAGGGCAGTAAAAGATACTTCAGTACAACCACCATTCATAGAAATGAGACCATAGCGTTTGTTTCTATGAATGGATTGAAGGAAAACAGTTATGACAGACACCAAAGGTGATTGTAAGCAGATATGTTAGCTTCAGGAATTCAGTTCTGTTGCTTCAACATAATTTAACTGCTTGCTTCTCAGTGTAAACACTCCCAACAGACTGAATCTAAATAAAGACTTACCTTTTGAATTATAAGCAGGGACCTAAATCTCTTTTCCTTTTTATTTATTTTCTATTTGTCTTTTCAACTATATCAATGTAATCAGTATGATTTTACAGCTGGACATGAAGAAATGTATGGTATGCATCATTCAGGAAAATCAGCAAAGAAGCAGAGTAATAAGAAGGTAACTGGCTACATGCTTGGAACAAAAACATACTATAGGCTTATGCTGTACTGGAAGCAGGACTGGATCACCACTGGCTCTGAAGCTATGAACAGGAATTTAGTCCAGAGGCCAGGAAAAGAAATCCTACACTTACAAATAAGGAGTCCCTGAAAAAGTATCCTCGTACAACTCATGTTCCATTTTTCTTTACTGTCGCCTCTCACTTAAACCTTAATCCTGCTTCCAGTGAAGTCACTCGCAAAAATTCCAGAGCAGAATCAGCCTGCTGCCTTCAGCAAGTTACCATTTTCTTAATACCATAATTTCAGCAGTGTAAAATATTATGCAAATTAAGGGGTATTACTATTGAAATCTGCTAATTCTGCATGCTTGCTAACAATGAATCAGGATTCTGGGTGTTTCAGTATTTGCTTGCATGAACAATTGCAGCCTGTCTATTGGCAGTGCCTTGCACATCCTCTGTTGTAAACCTGAATTTATTCATTGAAGTAGTCTTAAAGCAGCTATTACACCCTTTAAATACTTGATAAAAAGATGTCTGGACAACCATTTTTTTAATTAAAGCATAATGTTGAGTATAAGAAAAGTGAAATGAATGAGACTAATAGCACTGCAAAATACAACAGTTTGGGCCATTCACTCTACTGGAAGCAGTACCTTTTTTAGTACACTGAACTAGTGGTTATCATGCAAAATGCAACATTCAGCAGCAGGAAAAAAATTCTGGAAGATGTCTCTTATTAATGCTCTAATGCCTTTGTCTTAACAGTGTGTCTTGTTGACAAGTTTCTGCAGCAACTTTGATATCTTTAATTCACAGTGTATATGCTCTGCATTCAAGAGTTGAAAGAAAAAGTTTTCATATGTTATATCTATTGGACAGTTGGAGGAACATGATTTTGATAGTAATCAAAAAAAGCTGAGACACTGTATGAATTCTATGGTAATTATCTGTCATAATTAACCAGTAAACACTTCCAGGACATATAGTCCTTTAGACTGATAAAATGGCTTTGTTAATTGACCCTGTGAATTTAATTGACTCCACAGTTTATGTCTTCAGTAGGAGGTAGTGAAGTCATAAAACAGAGTCACTGAATCCAGAATTCACAATAGGTTTGACAGCTGGTACAACTTTAGCATGCCATATGAAGCTGGTGGATTGTCTCTCTCTCTTTCAGCTCAAAGACTGATAATGACTGAGAGCTTTGTTAAGACCAAACTGATACCATGTCATAACATCTATTATCACATCTATTATTTGTGCCCATCCAATGTGTCTACGACAGCATTACAGTCTCAGGACAGCTGTACAAATAAAGAGGATGAAGGTAGTCATGCTCATGTGGAAATGACAAATTAACTCAGTTAAAATGAACAGAATATTATGCCTGCTCTGCCATCTGATGCCAATAAATTCCTTTAGGATTTCAATGCCTTGTTAATTGTCTAGGTCAGGAACTACCCATGCCAAGATTATGGTCTGTTATTTTAGCACATCCTGGGCTTGACCTGCAGTAAGAAACTGACTTTTGACAAAACAAGACTATATTTTTTTTAATTAAGTATGCTTCCTAAGACTAAGACTGCAAATACTTTAAGATCGTGCAGCAAAGTATTTAATACTCTTTGGAAAAGGCAATGGCCAAGGTAATTTGGAATTACTTTTTTTTGATTGTTCTAAAACTGAAGAGCACCTGATTTCTTGAGTGCCCTGAGCACTGTCTGAGCGAATAATATTATAAAGGGCTCTTAACTGGGGGGGGTGGAAAAAAAGTTAATTATACTAAAGTAAATTCTTGGTTTTTGTTATTGATAAAGTTGAAAGAAGTCCAGTTACCAGCCTTCAGTTAGGACAGCACCCTATGTTACAGGCTATGTGGATTTACAAGTGATATGTGAAATGTACTTACCTTCTGTTCACATGAATAAAACTGAAAATGCCCAGCAACTCCACATAATCAGATTGTAGGCAAGTAATGTAACACCCTTTGTCATTCTGTACTAGGCTCCAGCTTGTAACCAGTCTTTCCCATTTTAGCAGGAGCAGGGCAGCGATAGGGAGGAAAGTAGAGCAGTCTGAGAGCAAGAGAGGAGGGCACACAAAGGCATTTGCAGACAGATGTTTTCTTTAGTAATTTGCTTAGTGAGGTGGGAGCATCTGCTGCAACTCTAAGCTCCACCCATGTCCTCTCCCCTTTTGGAAGAGCAGGTCTATTATACAGCAAAGCCACAGCTTCCAGGGCTTGTAGGAGTGTCCATTCTGGAAAGTTCCACTCCTCCACTGTAACTGTGTGGGACTGGGACCAAAACCATTTTCACTGTAAATCAAGGCTCCAAAATAAACCTTATCAGTATTAACTTTATCAACATGAAATAAATCTGAAAAAGCACACAGCTTGGTATTAAATCCACTTCTTGTCCTTAACGGAACAAATTTTTCTATGGTAGCGGGTTAAACATTGAGTGAGGGTCAGACTAGTATATGGCATGTACTTTATTTTCAGTTTGTTCAGAAACAGCAGATAATATAATGACTTTTCAGTATTGATAACTTCCTTTTTATAATCAGATTTTGAGCTGATTAAATGTAATAGTAACTCTCAGTGCTTGACTCTTCTTGGCATCTGTATTATGCTGCAAACTACTGGGAAATTCTGTGTTCTTTTATCCTATTCAATGATCCATCAGGAACATAGTACCTGATGATGCAGATGTATTCACAGTGAAGTGCTGAAAACATTTTCTACAGTGTATTTTTGTTTTAACTCTGTGAAATCATGAAAAGAAAAAGTATTCGATAAGCCAGTGGGTGTCACTATTGTGTTAAACAAACACTGAACAGCAGCTAATTTGGCACTGACACTGTAAGAAACACCGTTAATGGCTGAAAACAGACAGTTGCAAATAGACCATTTTAGACCACAAATAATAAACATCAGATTAGCAAATAAAATAAAATAAATGTTTATTGAAACAAGTCACTGTGTGGTAACATTTGGTTGATTTAAATCTACAAAAAAAGAATGATTTTGTAGTTTTGTTTTGCCTGATGTGCAAAAGCTTGCCAATCTGAAGCAACTAAGAAAAACACTGTTTTAGTATAGTGGGACAGGGTACCAAAAGTATTACAGAAAGAAAGATGCTCAACAACAAAAGGAGGGATAATTTAACAAGATCAAAACTTTAGAAATATGTCTAATATGAAAAATACTAATTTACAGATGCTGTAGCTGGACATTGTACGTGAAGAACAGTTTCAGAAAGACCTTTCAGTGAGGACATTGGAGTGATCCTGTTCCTACTCCACATTCTGGTAAGCAGGCTTCATTCCCTACAAGTTCAAATCCTAACTCTTGGGGCCATAGAACTGCCTACTGTTCTGATCAGCTATAAGAACTTGTGGTCTGCTTCAGATATAGATATGGGGTCTAATTTCTCTAGGTCTGTTTTATTATGGTTCTCAGCGAATGTGAGTTGAATGCAATGTATAACTGGTTTCAGGAATCTTCTATTTCAAAATTGTATCATAGCTAATGTACTGGGAAAAATTATCAAAATTATCAAAAAATTATCAACAGGTATGATGCTCCCACAGCATCCTCACAGCTAAATTGAGGAAGTGTGGTCTGGATGATCAGGTAGTGAGGTGGACTGTGAACTGGCTGAAGGAGAGAAGCCAGAGAGTTGTAGTCTATGGGGCGGAGTCTAGTTGGAGGCCTGTAACTAGTGGAGTGCCTCAAGGGTCAGTACTGGGACCAGTATTATTTAATATATTCATCAACGATTTAGACGAGGGAATTGAGTGTACTACCAGCAAGTTTGCTGATGACACTAAGCTGGGAGGAGTGGCTGACATGCCAGAAGGCTGTGCTGCCATCCAGCAAGACCTGGACAGGCTAGAGAGTTGGGCAGGGAATAACTTGATGAAATATAACAAGGGAAAGTGTAGAGTCCTGCATCTGGGCAGGAACAACCCCAGGTTCCAGTATAGGTTGAGGAACGACCTGTTAGAGAGCAGTGTAGGGGAGAGGGACCGGGGGGTCCTAGTGGACGACAGGATGACCATGAGCCAACACTGTGCCCTTGTGGCCAAGAAGGCCAATGTCATCCTGGGGTGTATTAGAAGGGGGGTGGTTAGTAGGTCGAGAGAGGTCCTCCTTCCCCTCTACTCTACCCTGGTGAGACCGCATCTGGAATATTGTGTCCAGTTCTGGGCCCCTCAGTTCAAGAAGGACAGGGAGCTGCTGGAGAGAGTCCAGCGCAGGGCAACTAAGATGATTAAGGGAGTGGAGCATCTCCCTTATGAGGAAAGACTGAGGGAGCTGGGTCTCTATAGTTTAGAGAAGAGGAGACTGAGGGGTGACCTTATTAGTGTATATAAATATATAAAGGGGGAGTGTCACGAGGATGGAGCCAGGCTCTACTCAGTGGCAAACAATGATAGGACAAGGGGTAATGGGTACAAACTGGAACACAAGAGGTTCCACTTAAACTTGAGAAGAAACTTCTTCTCAGTGAGGGTGACGGAACACTGGAACAGGCTGCCCAGGGAGGTTGTGGAGTCTCCTTCCCTGGAGACATTCAAAACTCGTCTGGACACATTCCTGTGTAACATTATCTAGGTGTTCCTGCTCCGGCAGGGGGATTGGACTAGATGATCTTTTGAGGTCCCTTCCAATCTCTAGCATACTGTGATACTGTCAAATAGTGGGAGAGATCTGGCTTTCCTCTGATGCTAGTGTGTTTACATCTCCTATAGTGAGTCAACTAAGCATATGCATTTGAGATCATTAGACAGATTTTAGATATTCACTTCCTGAGTGTGCAGCTTGAAAATTCAAATACAAGTGCTGGATATTCCATGTGCATGACAGACTGCCATTGCATACTGACATTCAGAAAAGTGTGATTTAATAAATGCCTCTTACTCCCCAAAACAGAGAGAATTTGCACAGTTTCTCAGCTAGTGAATATTAAATATATTTCCTCTGTGCTGTAAATCACTCAGTTAACCCACAGGATCTACTAGAGAGATGTGATGCCAGATGGTATATCTACTATACTGTTAAATTTCACCGTTCTTACCCCACTGCCCTGAAGTATACATCAGCTGATTTTCTAACTTACCTGTGACAACCGACTTAGCATCTCTTGTGAATTCTTACTCCTTACACCTCATATGCCAGAAAATGGGAGACCTTCCTCTTAGATTTCTGCTTGCTAGGTTCTCTCTACACTAGTATGAAAATAGGCCATTCGCTTCATCTGCAAAAGAACGGTCTTGCTGACTTATATTTATTATTCACTAGCCTCCAGGCATTTCACATGATCTCATAGAAGCTAGATCAGGTTGGGTCATGAATAGATGCTTGCTTTTTAAATCTACTTAACTCTATAAACAAAGCCAAAGGAACTGAATGGGAGCAGACTCTGGGGTCGGCACAGGACAGGTTTACAATCCATCAGTGCTAACAGCAAATATTTTTTAAACTATCTAAATTCTGTTAGAGCAGCCAGCATTTTGTGAGGTCTCTGACACAACACTACAGGAGTTACCAAGGAAATGACTTCCCAAGTAGAGAAAGTGGAGGAAAGTTTTCACTGTCTGTTGGACGTATCAGGAGAAAATTACAATCATGGACTTTATGGGAGACCTAAGAGGAAGAGATGAAAAAAGTCTAAAATTACGAAGTTGCTCTTTGCCTCTAATTAAAAACATTGACTGCTACCGCCTACTGGAAAACAGTACATCTTGACTGTGAAAAAGAAGGCAGAAGAAATTATCAATTGGTCCAGACTGGCACTAAAAAGTATGTAGAATACTTATTGGCATATAAACTTTCACTGATGACTTTCTCCCCTCATTATCTGTTCAATTTTTCTTGAATGAATATGTACAGTATCACACACTACATGCAGAGATTTAACACATTTTGATACGTCCTATGGAAGAAAGAGTCCATGGAAGTCTTGCATGTCCTATGGAAGAAAGAGTCTTTTTGAGCTGTGACATAGATCAAAAGACAAACAGCATAATGTAAACCTAATTCTAACAGGGCTGTAATCCCAATTAAACGGAAGCTGGACTTCCATTGTGATGTGGACAACTGTAATGATATCCGAATGGGATATACTGCTAGCAATAGTGACTAGACTGTTTTTCAGACAGTGGATGATTTCTTGCTAATGAACAGTAGTGCAAATCTGTCTATAGCACAGTTATCTAAGCTTGAGAGAAATAAAAAATGACATGTACACAAGCTCTTCTAAGACCCAATATAGCAAACTTCTATACTGGGTTTATAAAAATCTTAAATAAAAGTTCAGGTATTTGCTTCTACTTTTCTTCCAACCTGCCCAATTTCAATACATTCAAGTATGGCCACGGCAGTTTCCTTTTCATACTCCCATGGTCATATTTCCTCTAGCTACAGCCTCAATTATCTCGTCCACTTACAATGAAGAAGGCTTTCTGTGTGTGCATTTAACAGATTTTCAAAAACGCAACTGGAAGGCAAAGTCTGAATTACTGTGCACTCACAGTCAGTTGCACAGATATTGTACACTGTCCTGGTAACCACAGCTTTAACTAGTCATGCTTAAACTGCATTAAAAAAAATATAAAAAATAGAAAAGTCATTATGCCAAAGACCGTAGGAAAGATTTGAGGTCTGTCTTTCCTATGAAAACTTCAGAGTATACTACACTCCTGACAGTCATTCTACTTGACTCATAAACCTAAATAAGAGTTTAATTTTAGGTGTCTATTCTCTTATTATCCTAGGTTTTTACTGTTCTAGCGGAGAGATGCTAAGGGCTACACTTACGTCATATGCAGCTTACAATGTTTTTAATTTTACAAAATGTGAACATAATTCATTTGTCACTGGTAATTACAAATAAACAAAGCTGATTTATGTTGGTTCTAAGACTTTTGTTCTACCTTAATTTTAGTAGAAATATTTGTTATGGATTGACTATAACCCTTCTCCGGACAGAAATAACCTGTTTGTTCACTTTACTAGCTAAATTTCCAGTGGGCAGTGCTTCCACTGAAAGTCTAAAAAGGAAGGTAACATTCTAAAATCTGTAAAATGGCAATGTCATCAAATACCTGTCATAGTGTTTTATACGTACATAAAAACCTCTCAAATGAAACTGGCAACAATATTTTCCTCCCAGTCTGCTGACAAAGTGAAACCCTTATCAGATGGTCACACCTTAACTTTGATACTGTACAACTGCTGTTTTATCAGCAGATAGATATTCTGACTTCCCTAAAAATCTCCTTTTCATTAGTGTGTGGAGAAGGATACAGGGAAGTGAAAATTAGCAATGTGTGAAACAAACTGCTCAGGTTTTTATTCAAATGTTAAGCTATTACTTTTAAGTTGGACCTATGACATCTGTGTAGCACAAGGTCTACATCATGAGACAACAATCATCTTTCCTATGGATTGTAATTCCTATGCATTCCAACAGGTGTATTACACATAATGTACTTCCTATGCATTCCAACAGGTGTATTACAAATAACGTACTTTGCTAAATAGCTTTTCCCTCAGTGCACTTTTTAGGGAAGACAAAAGTTAACAGAAACTTTCCATTGAAACTGGAACTCTATTTGGAAGTATTTGGCTAACAGGCGAATGGTCATGTTCCAGCTAGTCTAATGAAGGATTTAGTTTCAGTTCTTGAAAGAGTCTGAAGAACATGTTTAATCAATTCATAATAGGTCTGACCTTGCATATTTCTAACACAGATAATACCTCAGAAGTACAATAATGAGACAATTTGCCCTTGTTCCCCTGTAAGTTTTAGACGGCTATGTTCAGTGGAAGATCATGAAGGGAATACCTTACATCTAATTCTCTGTGGTATAAAAGATTAAAAGATAAACAAACAAAAAAATTAAGGTGGACTGGTCTGTGTATATCAAAACAACTTAATTCAGATTCTGATGTAGCTCACTCAGACACTCCATTTCTCATTCAGCCTCTGCAAAAGCCCCTGGTACTGCAGTTGGCTTAACAGAGCTGAATAAAGACTTGTTAACCTTCAGGGCTGCTATAACGTTGGCCCTCCAGCCTGTCTGGGTGTGATTAATGTTCCATCACCTTTTGCCAGCAAGTACATGAAGTTTCTAGAATGTTTTGTGCTTTCAGCAAATGTTTGCTGAGGGGAGCAGCTCATCCTTAATTTTGACAGAGTTGTTCTAAATAGTGAAAAGGGAAAAATTACAGTGCTCTGCAACCGAACATATAATATTGGTCTTATCACAACTTCTTTACAAAGAAGGATTATTTCATAAACTGTACACTTCTGAAATTTTAGGCCTGCATACTGTACAATGCCAGAGGCTTTCAATGATAATTTATTTCTTGCACTTCAAAGACAGAATTGAGGAAGATGCAAAACTCTGAGGAACCAGCCCAAGAGCAGGATTCAGACAGCAAAGGCGATAAAGCAGCTGGTTTGCATTCTAGGAAGCTAACAATAAGATAAACAAATCTTTTATTTTGTAATGGGTAGTCTCCACAAAAGCAAGGAAAGAAAAGTCACTGTGTCAGAATGTAAAGGCAGAACACAGCAAAGTTTAGAAATCAACAGGGTTGCAGAACAACAGAAAAAAAGATAAAGTGATCCTATAGAACTAATTCATCACCATATATTAGTATAGAAAATATTTGCAACAATCTAAAGTGGTGTTTAGGTAAGCCATATTTCATGTAGGGTCTGATAAGTACTTCTATTTCTTGCATACTGTTTAACAGAAATGATTGCATGAAACATAAATTCATATTAGGTTGGAGAGACTTTATCCATCAGTGTGCATACTTATTTCAGAGCTATTTCAAGAAATTCTCAGACTTACATTTTCTTAATGACATTGAATTTATTTTGAAATATTTATTACGCTTCTATTTGGCACTTACTTAGGTCCATATCCTTGGAATTTAGAAAACTATCTGCAAATGCAAACATCATAGTTCAGTTTATCTGTGGTGAGGAGGACACCTTAGGAAAGAGCAGTGAGTATTTATTATTGACTGATCAGGGGCATGTAATTCAAAATTTCCAAGCTACTGAGAGAGAACCAGAATCCGGGAAATTTCTTCTAGTTTCAATGTCAGTTGTTTTTAAATGGCATTTTAGATCAGGTTTTTGTATCCAAAACAGTCTGTTCAGTACTGCTGCGAGACACTGCAGTGCTGCTAGTCAAAATACTTTTCCTGGGATGCCCTTTTGTTAACACAGTGTTACAGAGATAGACACATCCTAGGCCCCTATTATGAAAATCCTACAGCAATGGGGGTCTTTAATATACCCATAATCCCAGAGGATTAGGATAGGATCCGAGGACACCAGGGCAGTGATCATGACACAGCAAAGCATGCAGCCAACTGCAGAAGCACAGGAAAGAAAAGGTGTGTCTTGTTTTTGTGGTGACTCAGGTTGTACACAAACAAATGGGGCATTCAGCTCTTTCAAAACTTTATCCACCATGGTCAAGATTTCTAACCGTAATCTTTAACAGTAGTACTTTGAAAGAAAACAAATTCCAACACTAACCTACAGTTTTTCAGGTGTTCAGGGCATGCATCTACTCAGATAATAGTTAAATTGTTTGCTACCACTATATATATGATTCTAGGATTCTATGATTATATATATATATATATATATATGCATTTTGAGAAACAACAGCCAGGATAAAATAGTTAGCACTGGACCATAATTTCATTTAACAAATAGCAACATACAGAGTTACTAATTTTAGTGCATAATATGGAAATGCCTTGGCTTCACTCAATATTTTATGATTCTTTAAAAGGCAAAGATAATACAGATTTTTTTTTTATACTTGGTGTATTAAGCTAGTAAAATAAAAGGTCTGCAAGCTTTTCCAGAATATGAAACACCTAAATTGTCATAACACTAGTAAATGGCATAGACATTCTCTTTTAGCCAACCTCTTAGTAGATTAGCATAGATTTCTAAACTTAAAATATATTCAGAATAACCTTTGTCTAAGTACTAGATTGATCTCAAAGGACACCTAACACAAGAAAGGCAACATGAATATTACAAACCTCATTTACAAACTTGTTTAACATCTTAAATTCTTTTGACTATAGCAGTACATCATACCAGTAAGTGAATTATAATAGTTTGCTATATTAAGACTTATTTATGCCTGAATATTAATTTATTGATTTGTGTCAACCATATTGATTTTAAAGAGCAGCAATGTACAAAGTATTTACAACAGTAATTAGCATTAGTTCTAAGCATCACTTACTCTTGATCCTTTTTCTGGAAAGCACCGACAAACTGAACAATCCTGTCCCCCACATGGGTCAATATATGCATATCCTCCCTAAAAATTAAAAGTGTATGGATTTACCAATAAGCAACAGACAACAATCACTTCATCAAATATTGTCAACTGGTCATAATATTCAATTAGATGATTTTGAAGCCAAAATACTTGGCTACCCTTGCATACCCACAGGGCGACTTCCTTCTGATAAAGAAACTTTGCATAGCAGCAAACATCAGAGTATTGTGTGGATCTTCAGCTTGACACATCTGAACCTTTCCCAATGTTTGCTTCATAAAATACACACATCAATACTACATTTAAAATGTAGTAAAATCCCAAACTTCTTGGATCTCTCATCAGCAGAAACATGCTGGCAAAGTAGAGGCCATAAGCAAAAGCTTACTACTGTTGCTGTACAAAGTGAAACATATTACCTGCAAGTTATGTTAAGTAATGCAAATATTACATCTAAAGACAACTAAAGAAACAGGCTACATCTGGAAAAAAATTTAACAGAATCAGAATTTAATTTGTAATAACATGAAACATGTAACACACCACATTAGGGTAGGAGACTGTTTAGCAACAATTAGATGATAAAAGGCAAAACAGGTTGAAGAGCCACAAGCCCACTTAGCAATAAAGCCCTGTATCTAATTCTTGTCTGTTAAATGAAAAGAGAAGCATGTGCATGCTGTAATTATGCATTGCCTACCACTAACTTACTTATTTCTTATATTAAAACTTTCTGTCCTTGTCCTCTTAATAGCAAAGAAACAACTACTTTGTTTCATCAAATTGCTATGGGGGGGGAAAAGCATATTCAAGGAGACACAAAACCACACCAAGATGTGAATTAATTAGTTTTATTGTGTGGTAAGTGAATATGATTTTATTATTATTTTCTATTTCCCAAAGTGTAGTATTAAACATATACCAATTATATACACCATATGCATTTATAAATTCATGGTGAGTGGACGGTTGGAATGTCCACAAAGTGACATTATTTTCAGCAAAATTTTCTAAACTATTAAAGTAATTTCAAAAAAGGATGACTTAAAAGATTTAAGAATAATTTAGGTAAAGAGGTCAACAGTGACAACCTGAAATTATTTGCTCAGGGTGGATCAAATTTTTATCAAGGTCAACATTGTTTTGTTACTGGTTTTAATAGCCAGCGGAACACTATAGGTTAATGCTTCAGTTTTTCAAGGAGAAAACACTGACAAATATAAGATAAGGAGCAAAAATTCTGTTCTTTCTATCTATAATATTTTAAGAATACCTGGTATTCCCAAAGCTCTGAACCAGAGGGTGTGATA